GGCCCAGGTTCGGAAGGAGGACGGCCCGGCGGGAGTAATTGTGCAATTTAGAGGTAACCGGTTGTGATTGGTGGCCACGATTGAGAGGTCATCGGAAGGTCATCTGATAGCATCACCTCGGAGCTACGGGGTGACAGTGTCTTCTGAAGAGAGAGAAAAAGTGAGAGAGAGAGAGAGAGAGAGAGAAAGCGAGAGAGACTGTCGAAAAGGCCAATTGGTTCTCCCCTCACCTACCCCGCGGCGGGTGAAACACCATTTTCGGGCGTGCTTGCTCATTGTGCAGGGACGGGATTGTTGGGTTACGGTAGTCGAACAGACTTTTGGTATTGATTTTCAATCGAATTTTTCTTCGATATAACTTCTTCACTTCAATTCATTTGCTTTGTCATGCTTTTATCCGAATATAACAATTCACCCAAAAACCCAAAAACCCAAAAATAAAAAAACCCCCAAACCAAAAGCCCACCAAACACCAAAAACTTAAAATAAGTAAAAAAAAAGTAAAAATTAACACCCCACCCCACACCTACAAATTCTCCCCCATAACCTAATTCTCCCCACACTTTTTTTAATAGAATTTTAGGAAGTCAAGAAAGAGAGCGAGAGAGAGAGAGAGAGAGAGAGAGAGAGAGAGAGAGCGAGAGCGAACAAGTGCGAGAGACGTTTCAGGTTTTTCTACACCTGCGTCCGTTTTAAGCTCAGCAGTGCTACTAAGCATTGATTTTCCTTCGGAAGGGGCTAACTAGCAGAGACTTGTACGGAAAGCAAGCACTCTATTTGAAGTACTTAATTATTTTTTATACTTATTACTTTTTTAGTTCTAAAAAGATGTTTTCTGCTTGGCTTGGAAACGCCCCGTAGGAAATCCGCGTATTTTTCCCCTTTTTCCTCATCATACCTCCTACCCAACCATCCTTCTGATCAAATCACCAGTTGGCTGGCCATATCTCGGGTGGTGGCGCCCTTTGATGAGGGTTCGGTTGATTGGTTGCGGTCAAGGGAGGCCATCTTCCCCCTTTCCGTTTACTCCTCTAGACGGTCTACCATAGGGCCATAATCCCAGGCGGGGGGCGGAGGGGTGGTCTAGCAGATACCATCAACACCGCCACCACCTCTACTCAACCATCATCTTCATCAAAGAATAGGCTGTCATTTTTGGCGGTGAAGGTATTGTCAAGACTAGCGTTCTGTACTCTTCCTCTTAGACGCAGTTTTTCTATTTCCTCTAAATCCGACGATTTCAGGTACTTCAAGGTACCTTACATGCTCCGTTTTAGGATCTCACTCTCGGCCTTACGGTCAATTTTCTTAAATTCAATTGGCAAAAATTTTTCCTGTTCAGAGTTTTTGATTTTCGTGTTTTTTCTATGCCTTTAGCGGGGGAACATCGGCTTTTGGAATCTGGCTTCAACTTCCTTTTACATGCTTGAATTTCTTGGCTTTCGTTCCGTCTGAAATTTATTCCTGACCGTTACGAGCCCGCCCCACCTGGCACGAACTGTCCCTCGTGGCCGTCTGAATATTCAGCGTGAAGCGAAACCCGGCATCGCGCCCACCCGGGTCAATTTCGATGCGAAATTTGATTTTGCGGGATTCTAGAATCTTCTAACCGTTTCTTGAGGTGTATTTGGGAAAATTTTTCGTTCCTTTCTTAATTTAGTGGGTAACAAGCACTGATAATTGGTACCCTCTTTTATTCCGATTTTTCAAAGATCATCTACAAACCTGCTAATAGACCAGACCTTACAACTCCATAGCTCCCTTAAATTTTTCTAAGAAATTGATTTGGTCAGGTAATATGCACATTTATTAGTTTTGCTCGATTTTTTACAGGTGTTTCGGCGCTGACTTTTCCCTTTTACCAGAAAACATGCTAAAACCTCCTCGTTTTGACACCTTAAGAAACGTTACGATCCAAATTTCAATTTTGTATTTGTAATTTTGGATACGACAAACCACCATATTAGTGTAAGTTTCTTAGAGTCCATCCCCTGACCAATACGTCCCCGCCAGCCGGCTCGCTTCTCTTTACTATTCCGTGCCTCCATCTTCCCCCATCCAACTCCCTGTCTATCCATGCGCAAATTCCAGTCTTTTTTATTATCTCTTCATGCCCGGGGGCATCATCTTCCCTCCCCCTCCCCCTGCCTACCTCTGCCATCCAACAGTAACAGTTATGCGATGCGAAGAAAAATTGCGCGAGGCGCACGGCGCGCCTAGAGATAGCCCCTCAGCTCCGAAAAAACGTAGGCGCATCAACCGGTTGGCCCCGGGGCTGGGCATTGCCACCCAGGCAGCCACGGACAATTTATTCCCCTCCAGGCTTCCCCTCTTGATCATGGGCTCATATAGCTAACCGAGGGGGGAGTTTGAGCTCTTTCTCAACTGCCATACTTGGCAATTATATACCCTGGGGGAGCCTATGAAGTTATGGTATGGTGGGGGACGGTGACCAGTTTTTCCCGCGCCCACCAATTTGGACCCATCCCCCAACCCCGGGTTCGGACCAGCCGTTTACCTAGCTAGGCGCCTGGGGTGGCAGCCCGTCTGAAGTCGATGGCAAATCTGGATTCGAGCAGCTTTTTACTTTTTATTCCTTGACTCGCTATCGTACTCCTTATACGCTACCGTCCATTGTACTGTAGCGTACTAGCTACGGTAGCTAAAGATTTTCTATGGCCTTGAAAGCGAGCATAGTACTCTATGGGCAGTCTTCGCTATAAATTTGAGAAATTAGTAATTAGGGAATTTCGCATGTTCTGCATTTTTTTAATTTTTGAAATCCTATTTACCACTTACCACTTAACTGATAATAAACGACTTAAATTTTCTGTCTCCTCCCCTTACCCATATTTTCCTTTTCACAAAATTTATGGTCTTCAAATCACAGGCCTGCTTTATGCATTTTTGTTTATGAATTTGCTTTTCCGAATTGTTAGGTTATTCTAGTAGGCTTTAATGGATTCAGGTACCTGCTAACGATTGTGCTCTTTCCTCGAATTTGAATTTGCTTTTTTGAGACTAAAAGCATTGAAACTTCGACAAAATGAGATTTTGACAAAGTAACTTTTCGGCAAAATTGAATATCGACAAAATGATTTTCCTCTAAATGAAAAAACTTACTAGCTGTTCCTGAATGGCATATATCTTCAGATCCCCTAGCTATCCGGATTCATCTTTTTTCAACTTTTCGGTATCTACACGGTTGCGGTCATTATCAAAGTATTTCTAGAAACTCCTTAAACCCCCTTCCTCACGTTCCATCTCCCCCAAAAGCGGCCTCCACCTTTGCCTGCCGTAATATTTGCCGATATTGCCTCACCGGCTCTTTGCCTCGGGGCACAGTCTTATAGGGCCGCGGGAGGGGAAGTGGTGTTGGCGTAACCGGCGCGTTATCGCCTTGTTGCCAGCTTTGACCAGCGAAAGAGAGAGGGAGACAGAGAGAGAGAGGGAGAGAGAGAGACGCATACCTAGAGATAAGCCCAGGCGAGAGGCACCTGAGAAATAGGCGCTGGTCAGACCCCCGCCGAAGCTGATGGCCCGAAATTCAGGTCGTAAGGACAGGGAAAGGAGAGGGGGAAATTTGGCCCCGAGGGCTCATCGAAAATAAAAGATAAAGATGCCCCCCGGGGGGTTCTGCCCATTTTTATCGGCTTTCAAGGAGTGACCAGCTGTCACACGTCCCCCTCTTCTCCTTCCCAACCGAAATCGGGAACACCTGAAAAGGTGGGGTTGTTTGATTGGTTATTAGTTGGTTGGGGCGGGGGGAACGGTTAGGGGTTTGGACTTTGGGGTCCGAGAAAGGTTAGGGCAACCGGGACTGGGACTGGATCTTAAAGGGAGCGTGACAGCAGGAACATTAAGAAATTGGAGGATTTAGATACTAACCGCTTTCAAATTCTCTATGCTCAAAACACGGTTTCTTTGAAGTACCGTAACGTGTTTGGATCCCTTTAAAAAGTCATGACTGAATTTTTTTTCGAGTGTGCGGCACGTAAGATATTTTCTAATTGTATGCTGACCATTTTTACAACCACTCCATTTCTTCATTTTCCTTGTTTTGAAAATACCTACAGTAATCCTTACTGATTTCAACTTTTAAAAAATCTTCTCCTTGTCTTATTTTCCGGTTTAATCCATTTTTCCATGGTAGTTCCATTGCTATTCAGTCCCTATTTTTAGGGATTATTGGTGGCCCTGTCCCTTTAAATTAATGACAACAAAATTAGATATTTTACGTACGCGTTGCTTAATTTTCATATTTCCTTTTTCGTTTCTCTTTCAAACGTCATCCACGAGGTTTTTTTCTGCTGTCTCCCGCCACTGGAAAATGCGCTTTTTTTCTTGTCTGCGCTTTCGGTATTTTGTGCATTTGATTATGCGTTGTTTCCATCCCCTGTTATTTCCAAATCTTTCAAAAACCATCCCAAAGTCTCAATCTCTGGCGCTTTCCGGCAAAAAAACCGCTCTGAAACGCATTGTTATCGGTGTTGACCTGCAAGCGAATGAGGTGTCCAAAAAAAGGATGCTGCTGACCGTTCGAAAAAATAAAATCGCCTCCAGGGGGCTTGGTGTGCTTATCGGGTTGACCTGAAACTCTTTTTTTGTGTTAGGAGAGGGAAATTCCGACATCAGCCAAGCTTTTTAGGCCTTGCAAAAAGTGTGGCGAGTTTTGGGCCAAATCTTGGAACAATTATTGATACTTTACTAAATACCTTTTCGATGCTATCTTAATTGAATTTGGTTTAAATTTTGATTTTAAACAAAAAATGTCTAAAGAATCTAAAAATGATTACAACGGGGATTTCTTGCTGTTATTTATTTATTTTTAAGGCTTTTAAGGTGGAATTTTACATGATTTTTCCACTACTATATTTTATGACGTTTGCTGCTCTCTATAAAATGTTCTCTCCTTCTTCAAAGCATTTTTAATTTGCATTTTTGCAGTCTTTCACCCAACAGCCGATCTCACCCCCGGCCCACCCCCTCCATGCCTGAACATGGACGACTTTCTTCAGCCACCTCCGAATAGCGACATCCAGAATCCGGTAATGAAGCGAATTCATCAATTTTCTTATCTTTATGCCATTAAAATTTTGCACATAAGCGTTAAAGCCTGAAAAACAATATTTTGCATTAGTGAAAAATTTTAAAAATTGTTCTTTACCTCGTAAAAATGGATGGGATGAAAAACCCTTTTTGCGTAAAAATGCTCGCCCTTTCAGATGAATTTCCCGGGCGGCATCTACCCGGGCTATCCCGCGGAGTTTGGCTTCAACCCGATGTCAGATGACAAGTCTGGAAACAACAATCAGGCCGTGAAAATGGTGAGTTTTGTCGAGCCGGTATGCGAGGTAAATTTTTAGCTTTCAAGTTTAAGATGTAAGCTCCTGTGAAGTGGCTCTGACACCTTCAAAATTAAGCTTTTCGTATATTCGATAGATTTCAAGGTTCAGCTAAAATAATCTTTTTTTTTAGCTGGAAGTCGCGCCACCCCCGCCAGTCGTCATTTGCCCCACTGAGGTTGACCACATCAACATCACGCTCGAGAAGAACCAGCAGTGCGCGTGTAAGGACTGCGGGAAGCTGTTCAACTCGGTTTGGTACGTTAAATTATACTTTTATACTTTGTGTTCTAAAGGCAATAACCTAATACAACTGACAATTTTATTGGCATCGTTGAAATTTAAAGCAAGAGAAATTTCAAAAAATCGAATTTTATAATTTCCTCATTTCATAGCCTAAATTTTCCGATGATGAACTTCTCGAAGACTTCCCCCCATGAAATCCCAGTATTTTCCAAATAATAAGCTTTCGACATTATGGAATTTCGACATTATGCTTCAGATTATGGAATTTTGGCATTCTGCATTTGGATATCATGGAATCTCCAAATGTAAAACTTCGACAAATTTTACGAAAATTCTGAAGTTCGGACCTAACATAGAACCATTAAAGGGCAGTGCACCAGGTCCATCTCGCCCCTTCCAGGTACCTCAAGCAGCACGCCGTCAAGCACTCCAACGACCGCCCGTTCAAGTGCAAATTCTGCTTCAAGACGTACAAGTTCCGGTCCAATCTCTACCAGCACAAGTGTCCGGACAGGCAGAAGAGCGGCCAGACTGGGTAAGTATCAAAAAATTTACATATTTTTATCAAATTTTGTTATATTCACATCGTTTTTTTGTAGTTCCAATAATTTAAGTAATTTCAGTCGTCGGATGATCCGCGGAAACGGGCTTCTATCCCCAAATACCAAACGTCAGGAGACGAATCAGTTGATCAAGTCGAGAATCGAGGCCAATATCGCTGGAGATGAGCCGACAATGCCGTGAGTTTTGTAATTTTAAAGGGACTAGAAAGTTGCAAAACCGACCCTTTGCTCGGGCTGGACAGATATGAAATGCTCCAAATTACGCTCACTGACATTTGAAAATTTTGGTTATGCGTTCATCTCTGCGAGCAGAAAAAGCCGCCGAAAAGACTGTGTTTTGAAGCGATACGTATCTGTCGAGACCTAGTCAATATCACAGGTCGATCTGGCATTTACTGAATCTTTTAATGAGCCATTGAAGGCAAACAATTAACTTTATAACTTCCAGACAACCCGGAATCTCTGCCCCCATCCCCGAGCAGCCAGAGCAGCCGAACAACACCGAAAATGAGAACTACCCGATTGGGCTGAATATCAGAATTGAAGCAGCAGACATGTGGCAGGTATGAAGTTTTTCGGTTACTTGACCGGATTCCGTACCTATTAACGAGACTTTGACGATTAAAATATTGTCTTTTAGCCTCCCACCGCCCCACAGATCCAGATCGAAATGCCGCCAGAGCCACCCCGTGATTGTATCCGCGAGCAGCAACTACCCCAGGACGAGATCGAGCAGTACATCGCGAATAATAAGGTATCACCGGGGCTTCGATTAAACTTATTTGGTTACTTAGTAGCTTGCTGAAATTCTCGCTACCAAAATTATGATTTTTTAAAAAGCCGTAAAGAAAAGCGATCAACAAAGGCTAGTTTAATTTTAAGATATAAATCAGGCAGACTAGCGGTGATCCTTTGGGATCAAAGATTGCTAAAAACTCAAAGACTGGGCAATTTAGCAGAGAGTTTTGTGGAAATGAGCAAAAAATAGGCTCTCGAGCTGCTCATAGCGAAGAGCGGAAAAGGCAAGCTAGCAGAGAATATTTGGGAAGTATCACGAATAGTAACGCTGCAGGGCAGGCTAGCAGAGATTCTTTATGGAAAAAAGAGCTTAGGAGAAGCTCTTGATCCGGCATTCCCAAACATGTTTTTGTTTTGGGTAAGCCAGCAGAGATTCGTTGGGAAAATTAAAACAAACTGGAGTAAAATCCTGATAACAGGCGAGCTAGCAAAAAGACTGTGGGAAATTCCCTATACCGTACTCCTTCCATGTAATCCTTCCGCTTATAGTAGCCCACCCATTTCCTCCTGTTTCAGCACAAACTCTTCTCCTGTCGCAAGTGCAAATTGCTCTTTCCATCGGAGCAGACGCTCCAGCGGCACAACACGGTGCACGTCTTTGAGGAGGTAGATAGTGGATGTTGTACGTAGATGGGGTATTTTTTAGACTTACTGCTACGCCTGTCCGTTCTGCCGGGAGGCTTTCACGAACGAGAAGGACCTACGTGTACATTCGCAGCATCACGCGTCGAATAGTCCGTGGAAGTGCGACTCGTGCAGCGGATCATTTAGGTGAGAGAGAGACGGAGGTGGAGAAAAAGAGAAAACCAGCGAGTGAGCGAGAGAGAAAGACAGACAGACAGCGAGAGAGAGAGAGAGAGAGGGAGAGGGAGAGAGAGGGAGAGAAGGCGAAAAAGAAAGAGAGAGAGAGATCGAGTGAGTGAGCGAGAGAGCGAGAGAAAGAAATCTTAAGGACGGGAGTGACCACAAGCAAGCGAGAGAACAAGAGAGCCACAAAAAGTGCGAGAGCTAGAGAAAGCGTCCGCGCGTGCTCGAAGGTAGCAAAACAGTCTAGAAAGCGAGAGTGTCCCAGGAAGCCAGAGAGAAACAGCCGGCGAGAGATCTAGAGCAAGCGAGAAAAAGCGATACAAAAGCGAAAGAGTACGAGAGGCAGAGGCCGAGAGAGAGGCTCCAAATAGAGAGATCACAGTGAGCGCGGGATAGAGAGCAACCAGAGAGAGAATCAAGGAAAGAGGCGAAAATCCGAATTTCCCAAACTTTGTTTGACTTCCAGATCCAACGTCTCCCTCCGTCGCCATCAAGACGCCAGCCTCGAATGCACGTTCTACCCATTCGGTGTCGAGCCGGAATTGGTGGGATTTTTAAAGGTAGTGGCGTTTCTAGCTCCAACTAACGACCACCTTGAGCTCTACAAACTTGCTTTTTCCAGCTCCCCTCCCCACCTTTCCCGATGGACCCGTTCGGCTTCATCACCTCCCCCTCGGACCTCATCGTGCGGCCATCATGCGAGGAGCTCGGGAGAGGACCAGATTCCGGACTCGGATCCGAAGCCTCACCCCGATCACACGCCAGCCCAGAACTACCTCTGCTGCCTGGGGATGATGATCTGGATGAGATGCTGTATGGGAGGAAGCGGACAAAGAAGGAGAGAGATGATGATGAGGACTCTGGATTCCGCTCTCGGCTCAACTCCATGGCCACCGCGCAGTCGTCATGCTCCCCGAGGAGTTCACATGCTTCTTCGGAAGGGTCTGGCTCTCCGCAACGGAAAATGTCAAATGGTGGAACTGGGGAGAATCTGAATGATCTGAACTTTGGAGGTGAGTATTTGGTCCTACGGATTTTTTAAAGGGACCGGGAAGCGTAAAAATCGTCGCTTGGGGATACTAGGTCTCGACAATGCACGAATCACCTGGATAGAGGCGTTTTCGGATGGCACCTGTAAGTGTCGAGACCTAGCCGACAAAGAGGGTAGCTTCGGAGCCTTTTTCGGCTCCTTTAAGGGGACTGGAAAGTTTCTAAATCTCGACCCTAGTTATTGACTAGGTCTCGACAGACTGCAACTACTCGCAAATGCTGTATCGAGAGGATTCAAAAGAGGTTTTGAAGCGGTTTTTCGCCTAAGACATTCTTCTCGAGACCTAGTCGACGGGAGAAAGACGAGATTTTGGCACTTCCTCGTCCTGTTAAAAACAGAGTTTCAATGTTTAGGATAATATTTTGGCTTCAATGGCACTTTAAATCCCCAAATTTCCAGACCTCGGCACCGGATTCGGCTCCGGCCCTTCCTACGGCACGATGCTGTCCCACCAGTTTCAACAATCGGTGGGCGGAGGACTCAACTACAGCGCCGAAACGGATGCTGAACTCGGGCTCCATGAGGAGTACACGGTGGAATTCACAACCAGTGGTTCCGGCGAGGCACAGTTCATGATCATGCCGAGGACTATTCGGATGCCGGCTGTACATAAAGGTATGCAAATTTGAGTAACCTGGAAAAGCAAGAGAAGGTGGCTTTGTTGGCCTCAAGGTATCGGTAAGACCGTTCCTTGGGGATCTACTTAGATGAATAGAAGCCATGAAAAACCCTACATGTCGAAAAGCCAAAAATTTGATAAAAATTCGGTTTGTTTTGTCCACAGGTTTCTTGCCTTCCACATACGTTTAAGGATAGCAGACCTTCTAGTAGGTAGAAGGCTTCTACCTACACACTTACCTTCTAGCAGATTTTTGGCTTACATCTTTAAAACCTTTAAACCTTTAAAACCTTCAAAACCTTTCACCTGTACCTTTAAAACTTTTAAACGCCAAAACAATCAACAAACGCTCTTTTCCAACAGCTTTTGTCTTCCAGATACCGTTAAAACTACAAATTCCAGCAAGTCTAACAGCACCGCAAACGTTCTCGCTCGCTGATGAATATTCCGCCGCTAAATCGGCTGTGGCAAGCCAAGGAGAAGAGCCAACCGAGTTTGAATGGATAGCCAAGAAGCTGGGGATGGATTTTGAGTAGGTTTTTTGAAAAATAATAATATTCTGATAAGTCTAAATTTTCACGCAGTTTTAAAGGTAAAAATTCGTTAATAATCCGTCTTTTATAGCCTGCTGAAAGCGCTCTACTTCCGCTTCGTGCTCGAGTCTCTATGCGCCGCATACTGTAGGTTTTCTGAAATTGCAGAATTGTAGAAATTGATGAAAAACGTGGCCAGAATCACTAGAGATTCCGCGCATTTTAAGCGATAAGGAGGATCAGTCAATTTCTCTAAAAAACCTATCAACCCCTAACTACCGATTTTCCGCAAATTACATCCCGGTTCACCCCGGCAACCCGGTCAGCAGCCAATCAGTCAACTGATCCCCCGGGCTGCGAGCACCAGCTGACAGCACAAAAGCGAAACAAAAACGAATTGCGCTGCCCTCAGCAGGCCGGAGACGACGCGCTTATCAAACGCTACCCGGGGTCCGGGAATACATCATACGATCGAAACGGGAAGCCGGAAGCAACGTTTGGGTGTTTTTCAATTCAGTTAGTTGCGTGGAAGGGCGTAAACCATGTGGAAGGCTTAGTAAAAACCCTGAAAACGCGTAAATTAGCTTAAACGACCTCGAAAGCTGGCTAAATTCACTAAACCTTATCTTTTGGAGCATTAAGCCCTATTCTTAACGCTGCACTTCCCCTTGAAAGAATACTAAATAGCGCTATAAAAGTCATAGCTATTTTTTAAGATTTTTAAATCATCATTTTCCACCATCATTTCCAACGCCCTGTCCACCACTAATTTCTGAGATATAGGAATAGGATAAATGACACCTCTGGATATAGGAATGTTGTGGAAAAACAAGACCACACCCAGCGGAGCCAAGCCGGCCGTTCCACGGCGTTGGAGTAGTTTTCGAGATCCCATCTTTACGGCCATAAACGACGGGGTACTGGCTTGTTTTTCTGGTCTTTTTTGGCTTTGGCACGCACAGTTTGACACTTCCAAAAAAAGCGCTGTTCAGGTATATTCGTAGCTTTCAGGTTTCTACTTTTTTATCAGCTTTGAAAAAGTGCTCTCTAGAGCTGCTGTATGCGTACACTTCCTAAAAAGCGCTGTCGGCCACTACTGTAATTTTAATTTAGCAGTTTTTTAAAAGGCACTCTCAGTCACTACCGTAATTTCTTGATTTTTTCCAGCCGAATTTCTAATCCGGAATCCGGATCCCCAGAAAAATTTACCAAATTGGACCTTTCAACGATCCAAGGCGTTTTAAGCCGGGCAAAACGACTGGATTAATTTGATTAGACCGCATTAATGGTCCCAGTATGGACTTCCCAATCCCTCTAACCACACTCCGGCCACTTCATGGAACCTAGTTCACACCCCTAGACCTACCGTAACGTCCCCCCACCCTACCCCGGTTTTCCGATCCGATCTGCCCGGCACCGTGTAAACGCGGGGCACTTTTTTTGAATACAGCACCCGGTGTTGTGTCTCGCCCACAGATTCCGGCACCGATGCGCCCCCGATTTTCGGGCAGACTGGGGCGCATTTCGGTCTCCAAGCCTTCGAGGATGATGGATTAGCCGGGAGGTTCATCTGATTTAGAGGTTCCCCCTAGCTATACCCGGTTAAAACGCCCACAGAATGCACCGCGTAGATTTGCGGCATTATCGAATTACTGTAAAAACATTATTATACCCACGATTGTGCCATTTTTTACTTGATTCCCCAAAAAAACGCTTCCCGTGATCGTATGTTTGTACTGCGCCCCGGCATTGCCTGTGGAACGAGGAACTGTTTCACCCCTGCCCTGTAGAGAGGCGTAAAGAGGAATCGAGCGGACCACCACGTTTTTCGGCTGCTCTTTGTCGAAGCGGCGGCACACGGGCAATATTTTGCGCCCGGCAGCCCCGTTATTGCGTTGGTGGCTATCATATTTTCTCTGGGGGTGATTTTATTCTTAGAGTTATAGTTAAGTCGTAATTTAGTGCGCTTAGGAAATTTCCGAAACATTGGCTTATGAATCTAAAATTCTGTGTGTCACTCCCGGGGAAACGGGGGACCAAAACAAAAAACAACGCCGCGGAGAAAAAAGGAAAAAAAAAGGTAAAAAAAAACAGCGCCGCAGGAAAAGGAAAAAAAAAAGGCGGCCGGCCGGCGCGGCACTCCCCTTTTAAAACGATTGGCATAAACTGAGACAAGGGTAGAGAAAGAGCTCGAGAAAGTATATGACGACGAGAGATAGAGAGAAAGAGATAAAGACAGAAAGAGGGGAGAGCGACAGAGAGCGAGAGAGAGGAGGGAGAGAGGGTGAGAGAGACGTGGCTAGAGGGAGGCGGAGACAGAAAAAGATACAGGATGAGATGCGGAGTAAGATGGAACGAGGGGAGAGAGAGAGAGAGAGAGAGAGAGAGGAGAGAGAGAGAGAGAGAGAGATGAGAGCTAGAGCTATAGATAAGAAGAGAGCGAAAGAGCGACAGAGCTACGATAAATGAAAATTGACATTTCCCAAGAACAATAAGGGAAAAAATACGGCTTAAGGTTGTAACCTTAAGGTATCGAAAAACATAACAGCAATTGTCGAAATTTCGAACAAAAATCAGTTCGTACTTTCACCTTCCCCGCTCTTTTTACAAACTTTCATAGGCGGATTTTCTCGATTAACCCTTTTCATCATCTTCTCATTAGTTCGGTCCGCTTGTACCCGACAATCCCTGTAGTTTTCCGCCGCTTGAGGGGGGAACAAAAAGTAGAAGAGGGTAGAAGAGAGGGGAGGGCTGTATGTGGCTGGTGGTTGCTTGAATGTTTGTCCACGACCCCCCTCTCTACCACAGCACCCAACCAAAACCACATTTTTATGTCGTAAACGTCACTCTCCACCTCTGTACACTTTCCGCGCATACATAGAGTATTATGAGCCGATTTGGGGTGAGGCAGTGGCGGAGTGACGAAAGCGGTTAGAGATCGGGCTCGACTTCGGGGAGTTCAGGGTTCTGAGCCGTTTTTGGAAGTGAATTTACGCCGTTTAAAGAATAGATAAGGAACTAATTTGCATTTTAAAAATACGATAGACGCCTAACCTCGTTCGACTTCCCGGATCACCAAAATTTTGATTATACCTGGCTTCAATTTCCAACAGTTCGATCTGTCTTTAAGATACAGAATTACACTCCGTATTTTCCGATATATACCTACGAACGCTTGAATAACTACGACGATTTTAAATTTTCCAAAAAAAGTGTACCCTCTTGACCTCGCCCAACTCGGTGCACCCCGAAATGACGGATTACTGGGTAGGGTCAACCAAAGGGGTACAAAAAGTGTGTCCCGATGCGCACTGTCGATAGTATCGCCGCGTACAAGGCTAAACTCGGCCTTTAAAAAACTCCCGGATGACCCACTCGATCCCTCATCCTGCTGCCCTTGTTCTTGCAAGGACCCCCCGGCTAATCTATCCTTTTTTGGATCGGCTCTCGACCCAAAAGGAATGGGGTCGCAGATTACCATCGGCGACTCGAGTAGGCCAATTTGCTGGTGGGAATGGAGCGCGTCGCCTAGAGAAACAGCCTTTTGTATAGAAAATACTAATTTCAAAAATTTATTGCATCATGAAATCCTATTTTCTAATTTTCTTTTACAATTATATAAGGTTTAGATTTCTTTTTTTTTACAATTTTTTTTTAATATATATTTTTTTTTTTTTTTTTTTTTGCCTTGGGAAAAAAAAGGAAAAAAAAAATTGAAGAAAAAAAAAAAAGAAGAAAAAAAAGAGGGGGGGGGGGGGGGGGGGTTTTTTGTTGAAGAAAAAAAAAAAAAAAATAAAAATTTTATTTTTTTTTTTTTTTTTTTAAATATTTTTTTTTTTTTTTACGAAATACTGTACCCTTTCTGCAATTTCGGATGCTGTAACTTGCGCAAAATTTAGTACTCTCTAAACTGAGCGATTCAAAAAAATACCTTTCGCTTAGAACTCGAAAAATCAAACCTGTTTTTAGCGCATTTCCGGGTCCCACGACCTACAGCTGCCCTTTAAAAAGTGCACCCCTTAAACGGCGTTCCTTTAAAGTACACCCCATACAGTTCGCCCAACCTCCCATAATTCCCTACCGAATCCCACCCCGGCTTGGTCAAGGAGTGTTTGTGTTGTGCGAGGGGGTCCGGGGCCCTTTTTCAGCGATTTTCGCCCCGCGGGGCGCGCTCAGGACAAATCGGTTCTCCGCCCTGGGCTCCACCCTCTGTTTTTTCGGTGTCTCTAATTCCCTCGGTCTCCATTTCTGCCCCAATCTCTAGCACGAGCAGCGGAGACCGCCCGGAGTTGAGCCGATCACCTTTGTCGCTCCCGGGGTTGGGCGAGGTGAGGCGAGGCGGCCCCGTTTACCCACAACACCACACAACTGCATACCTTTCTCTCTGGCGATGTCTCACAAAAACACCCCAAACCACCAGGCAAGGCAAACACACCCCGACAGAGCGGGGGAAAAGCCCGCAACCAAAACCCGAAAAAACAAAACGGAAAAAAACCAAAAGGCGCCCCCCGCGCGGGAGAGCCCACAGATATATACACTCAAAGACAGACAGAAGCACAGACAGACAGACAAACAGACTAAAAACATCCGCAAGGAGAAGGGGTTTCTTGGGTGTCTTTTGATGACTCATTTGCCTTATTTCCTGATTTTCGATCACTCCTAATAATTGTCAGCGTTTTCCGAATATCAGCTAGACCTACAGACAAGGAGACAGACTTGGACACTTTCTACTTTACGAAGATTACCGTATTGTCGTCAGAACACCTCGTTTTTAGGCGGTTTTGCCCGGTTTCCATAGCACATTTTCGGAATTTTTGGGATTTTTAGCTTTTTGCCGCCCGTTTTTAGGGTTTTCAAAGTAAAAGCTGTTGGTTTATCAGTATTTCCGCGATTTCCAGCGGCAGTTTTCTATAGAAGCGTTTTTTCCCCGAAAAGTGACTTACACCTCTATGTACTTTTGGTCCGCAACATTACACCATCGATTTCGGGAAGTCACGATTTTCGGGACATGAAATAGCTTTAGAAACGCTTGAAAAGACTTGTAAAGGATGTAATTAGCGAAATTTATGCCATAAAATTCGATCAAACAGAATTATAGGACCCCGGATTTCTAGTCGCTCGATTTGGTAATTTTGGCGGTTTTAGGC